CACGAGCTGCTCATCTACGAGGAGGTGGCGCGGATGCCGCCGTTCCGACGGAAAACCCTGGTGCTCATCGGGGCGCAGGGCGTCGGGCGCCGCAGCCTCAAGAACAAGCTGCTCATGTCGGACCAGGCGCGCTACGGCACCACGCTGCCCCGTGAGTGCCCATCCGTCTGTCCGTCCATCCATCCGTCCATCCATACATCCGTCCGTCTGCCCATCCATCCATCCGTCCATCCATCATCCGTCCATCCATCATCTGTCCATCCGTCCATCCATCCATCCATCTGTCCATCCTTCCATCCGTCCATCCGTCAATCTGTCCATCCGTCCACCCATCCATCCATCCATCCGTCCATCCATCCGTCCGTCTGTTCATCTGTCCATCCATCCATCCACCTGTCTGTCCGTCCATCCATCCGTCCGTCCATCCATCTGTCCATCCGTCCGTCCGTCCGTTCATCCGTCCGTCCATCCGTTCATCCATCCTTCCATCCATCCATCTGTCCATCTGTCCGTCCATCCATCCATCCATCCGTCTATCCATCCGTCCGTCTATCCATCCGTCCGTCCGTCCATCCATCCGTCCATCCGTCCATCCGTCCATCTGGCCATCCGTCCACCCATCCGTCCACCCATCTGTCCATCCATCTGTCCATCCATCCGTCCATCAGTTCATCTGTCCATCTATCCGTCCATCTGTCCGTCTGTCCATCCGTCCACCCATCCGTCCACCCATCTGTCCATCCATCTGTCCATCCATCCGTCCATCAGTTCATCTGTCCATCTATCCGTCCATCTGTCCGTCTGTCCATCCATCCATCTGTCCATCTGTCCGTCTGTCCATCCATCCGTCTGTCTATTCATCCGTCTGTCCATCCGTCCATCCATCCGTCCGTCCATCCGTCCATCTGTCCGTCCGTCCATCCATCCATCCATCCATCCATCCGTTCATCCATCTGTCCGTCCGTCCATCCGTCCATCCATCCATCCATCCATCCCCCCAGCCCTGCATCCCTCAGGCAATGGGGGACCGGTCCCTTGGGGAGGGGGTGACGCTGACCCCTGCCCTGCTTCCCGGCCCCCCCGCAGACACCTCCCGCAAGCCCAAGGACAGCGAGCGGGACGGCCACGGCTACCGCTTCGTGGCGCGGGGCGAGATGGAGGCGGACATCAAGGCCGGGCGCTACCTGGAGCACGGCGAGTACGAGGGCAACCTCTACGGCACCAGCATCGACTCCATCCGCGCCGTGGTGGCCGCCGGCAAGATGTGCATCCTCGACGTCAACCCCCAGGTCGGGCGGCGGT